TTTTTTTTTTTTTTTTTTTTTTTTTTTTTTTTTTTTTTTTTGGATGATGAATAAATCGCAAGATCGTCGTATCGTCGTGGTGGTTCTAGCTTCGACTTAAACGTGATTCGATTAATTCGGTCAGTCAGTAAACATGTGTGCATTCTACGAAAGCTGCAGCTTCTAGAATAGGTGTCGTATATCTCATCACGTACATATTATGTGACAGTGAAATTCTATGCCATGGACTCAAGCCATGGATTTTAATGGTGATATACGCAAGACCGTGCCAAGTTAAATTTAAATGATATCTCGGCCAACGACGGGGTCCTTCCTTGTTTTCGCTAATTATTATCTTTGTCGATCGATTATCATCCGAATGACGAAGCTCTGATGAAAAGAATAAAGATAAAAAAAATAGTCCAATCGAATCGAAGAAAGTCGAGAAAAAATTAATAAATTTCTAAGAGGAGTGGTATTTCGATAAAAGGGGAGGAAAGAAAAAAGGACCTCGTCGAAGAGGTTCGTGCCTTCTACCAGCGAGTGCAAACATCTAAACGAGATGATTGATGACAAATCGTGTCGCTTCATCGTCGACAGGCATACTTTGATTCTTTTCCTCTTTTTCTAGTTTTCCCTCGTGTGTGTGTGTGTATATATATATATATATATATGATTTTCATCGCGCAGGCCGATGAAGGATAAAAGGGTGCAATATAAGAACACGCAATAAGAGCGAATGATAAAAGCATTCTGTATTTGACACATTCTGCATCGAGCACATTCGAGCGGTACAAAAATACATTAAAACCACGAACGTGTTGACAAATGAACGCAGTCTCGTCAAAGTACAAAGATTTTTCATTTCTTTCTCTGACTTTTTTTTTCTCTCTCTCTTAACAAACATCTATGTGCAATTTTGCACAGTGGCATAGAATTCGAGATTTTAAAAAAAAACGGTTTAAAACTTTTTTTTTTCCTCTCTCTCTCTCTCTCTCTTTCTCTCTCTCTTTCTCTCTCTCTCCCTCTCGTCCCTAGCCTCGTTTGCGTTGCGATTTACTTTAAACCAAGTTATATATGCTCAATAAGGATATAAGATAACGGTCCCATATGGTCGAATGCTTTCTAATTCTACGCCACCGTATGCGATTCAGCCATTCAGATGCTAGCTCAAACACACGCAAAAGCGCACGATTCACGAGGCACGTCGATTGCAAAAAAAAAAAAGAAAAAAGAAAAGAAAAGAAAAGAAAAAGAAAAAATAGAAAAATCTGTTGGAATAAAAATATATCTACGATCGCGCAATGTCGCGTGAGGAATACTTTTCTTTCTTTCTTTCTTTCTTTCTTTCTTTTTTTTCTTCGTTTTTCCGTTTTCGTAAGGAACTATATGTATATATATATATATATATATGAGTTTCTTAAGGCATATAGAAAAGCTGCGGTTGCAGTGAATCTTGAATCGCGAGGAAACGCGGCTCAGAAAGCAGGCCTGTCGACAAACGACCACGTGTCACGAGGTTTTTTTTTTCTTTTTTTTTCTTATCTTTCTCTCGAATAAAACCGCGATGAATCGATAATTATTGCGAATCGAAAACTCTCTCTCTCTCTCTCTTTCTCTCTTTCCCTCTCTCTCTCTCTCTCCCTCTCTTTCTCCAATTAGAAATTTTTTTTTTTTTTTTTTTTTTTCTTTTAAAATCGGTCGACAGAAGAAGAATCGATGCGATTACATTCGTTTGTCTGTTTGCTCTTTTCTATTCATGTTTTCATATTTTTTTTTTTCTTTTCTCTTTTTCTTTTTATTCTCTCTTCGGAGATTTTTTTTTTTTTTTTTTTTTTTCTTTTAAAATCGGTCGACAGAAGAAGAATCGATGCGATTACATTCGTTTGTCTGTTTGCTCTTTTCTATTCATGTTTTCATATTTTTTTTTTTCTTTTCTCTTTTTCTTTTTATTCTCCCTTCGGGGATTTTTTTTTTTTTTTTTTTTTTCTTAAAATCCATGACGTGAGTTACCGTGGGCGGCTAAAGCCAATGGGGGCCCGTGTTCGACGTAGTGTTAGTGTAATCGAGGGGTGTCGTGTGCTGCCTACAACCAACGGAGTAGGAGGTAGTGTGCTGGTCGATCAGTGTCGTCTCAATGGTCATCGAATCCTGGAAAGGTGTCGTCGGCAGTGAAGCCGCATTCTGTCTCTTGATGGCGGACAATACCTCGCGCAGCTGGCTCACCTGAGAGCAAGTCAGGTCAGGAGGGCACCACGTGTCTCTCTCTCTCTCTTTCTCTCGCGCGCGCACACACATATACGCACATGCGTACACACACACACACACACAGAGGAAATCCTCGTCAATACGATATACTTCTATGCGTTGACACTCTCTCGCTCGAAACGAATAAATATATATATATATAGATAAAAATAAATAAATACCGATAATACGTACCAAGAAACCAAGCCAATTCGCGGGAGAAAGTAAAAAAAAAAAAAAAGTAACAAAGCGACAAAGGATTTTATTTTCGATTTGGATTGGAAGAAGGGGAAGAAGAAGAAGAAAAAGGAAGAGAAAAGGAAGAACGATAACAACGAATTCGATTCGAACTCGGATCTCGGATGTTTCGGGCGATGTTGAGCCGAGCAAGTTCGAGTGGCGAGTATGAGGGCACAGAGAAGCACAACGAACGTCAAAAACAGGCAGAATATCGTTATATTTGGAAAACTTCCAGACAGAGAGATCATTAAGAGGAGAAAAAGGTGGGACGTACCTGAGCGGCGAGTTGTCGCAGCCTTTCCGACTCCTCCACCGTCGCATCCCGCCTCGCTGCAACCTTGACCTGTGCAACGTCCCCGTAAAACGACTCGGATCTCGGCGAGAAAGCCATGGTCAGCTGGTGCAACTCTTGAAGGGAATTCGAACAAGCGCGGTAACAAGCGACTCCGCACACCTCCCATTGTTCCGGGGTGAGGAGGGGGCCGCTGCTCACCAGGACGTGCCTGCGCAAACCGATCGTACAGCCGGTCAAAAGCGCGACATTCTCCCACCGAATACATGGAATCGCGCCGAATATAGGAAAAATCGAGGGAAGGAAAAATGGATGGTGGAGTAATCGAAAAAAATTAGGTTGCCGGCTAAGAGTGGGTGGGGACTCTAAGATTTCAGATCAGGGATCCCGTTCAGTGCCATAGGCCTCTCTAGCCTATCTGCCCGCGAACCTGTCCCGTTTTTAAACTCCGCGCACGCCTGTACATCGATACTCGCCGATCGACCCCGGCCCGGGATTGAATTACACACGCGGCCGTCCGTGTGTGCGCGCGCCCGTGCGAGTTTAATATGGAGAAAACGGACGAGAAAACGGGCCCGATCGAGGGGCCCGGCCCGTAGTTGGAGGAGGACGGAGGCCGAGATGCAGGCGGCTCCGTGCGAGTCGCTGGCACGACGCTCCGGGGGTGTCGAGTGTCGGTGGCTACCTTATCCCACCGGACAGCCTGTCAAGCTTCGTTATCATCTTACACGCACGCTACGCCCGTGCATACGACCATACATCTAACTCCTCCTTCGATCGACATTCCAACGTTACCTCCGCGTTATGATTCACCCTTTCTCTCTCTCTCTCTCTCTCTCTCTTTCTCTACGAATTGTCGCTCTCTCTCGTCACGGAACAAACGAATCTTACTATTATATCCGTATTTTTCTCCTCGGCGAGGAGAGAAGAAGGAAGTTTTGGTGGAAAAAGGAGAAGGAGGAGGGGGAGGATGGATTCGCCTTGTTCGCGAATCGGTGATCT